TAACACCCCATAAATCACATCTAGAGGCTTCGGTTAAAGATGGGTGAGTTGGGTTGGGGAAATTTATACTTTTCATGGATTTTCAACTTGTAATGGTTCTTTATGATTAAATAAATAAATGACACCAATCTGATTATAGGATTAAAAAAAAAAAATCAATTATAGGTTTTTTTTTTTAATTTATCATTATAATATAAGATATAATTAATATTTTATATATTATCAATCTTTTAATAAAGGTAAATTAAGTTTGATTTTTGTCTAGAAAAATATATAGATAAAAGCAATATTTTATTGTTAGCAAAAAAGTAAAACTTTAAAAAAATAAAATATAGTTTTTTTTTAATAGTTTTTTTAAATAGATATTAAATTATTGATTAAAAATAAAAATATGTTAAATAAAAGTAAAAAAACTCTTTCTTATAATACTTCAATTCATAAAAAATTTTCTTTCTTGATAATGACATAAATGATAAATAGTAAACAGTCAGCAAAAATCTTTTATTGGGAGAGGGGTACATTTTTACTTACTGCAGGATATAAAGAATTGATTAACTTTTTATAGAGGAATTGATACTTAAAGAAAAGACAGAAATCTCTTTAAACAAACTCTTTGCTTTACCAAGTGATGCTTATGTAAGCAACCTCCAAATTAATAAAAAACCTTTTTATCCATATCTATATACTTATTTTTCTTAAAACATATTATATACTTCTTTTTTTCTCAAATATTTATACATATATCAAAAGATAGTATTTTATTTTTTCAGAGTTTTTGTTTTTTGTTAATAATAACTAGTGCCAGGTTATACATAATTTTTTGGCTAGTTTTCAATTTTCACTTATTTTTCTATTCATAAAACCAAATCCAGCTTACTCTTATTAAAAGATTAACATCCATAATATATTAATAATTTTTTGTATTACAATATCAACAATAAAAACATCAAAACAACTAGATGTATCATCAAAACCACTACAAATTACAAATGTAGCCAGATTGAAAGAGTGCATAATCAGTGCCTTGCATGAGTTCCAATTACATAACTTATCAACTTTTTATACTAATATTCCAATCTATCCAATCACATTTACTATTATTACCATATTTATGCCATTGTCAACAATGGAGTAGTAGTGTACTGAAAAAATAGCCAGACTGATTGTTAAAACAAATTATATATTTTTTATATTTACTTTTCTCTATAATTTCATTTCTTTTTTATTTCTTTTTTCACAAATTTGAAGCTTTTAATCTTTTTGTTTCTTTAAGTAAACAGTTCTTTTTTTTTTTCTTGTAATAAATTTTTTTTAGGAATATATCTACTATATAGGTGGTAGGCTAGTATGCATAATAATATATTTCTAGATTTAGAAATTAATTATATATTAATAAAATTTATATTCAATTAATAAAATCATGAGAAAAGCCTCACTTTAACTATTTTTAAAAAAAAGTATATGGTAAGAAAAATATCTCTTAATGAAAACTTATTATTTGAATTTTATTTCTAGTTATTTAAATAACCTTAAGCAAACTTTCTATGTTTTTTTATTATAAATTGGCAAAAATTCGATCAGTGATATGCATTTGTTTATATTAATTATTTTAGTAACATAATTATACAAACATTTTTTCTTTTTTTATATAAATAGCAAGGTTTCACCCTCTGACAACCTTTTCTGATCCAATGCTAGCAGAAAGATAGTATCTTGATAATACCAAGTTTACCCTGATTGATATTACTCATTTGATAATATTTAAGGTTTGAGGTTAGATATTAAACATTTTTATTTTATGATTCTTATAGCAATTAAGCTCTAGCTTTTGAGACAATTTTGATCTGGCATTAATAAAATTACAAGTATATTGAATAATCAAACAACTCAATGAGTTTATTATTTAAGGTTGGAAATTTATTTAATAATCGTAAGAACACAATAGTCTTTCTCTTTTTATATTGGTACTAACTTATATATCACTAACACTAATCTTATTATATAAGCAAATCGTTCAAATTACCACGACGAGAACATGAATCTTCTGGTGAGTTAGAATAATTATGGGAAAAAATCAACTTGAAAAATTTTGATACCAGAGCACAAAGGGACACTATAAAAGATTTACAAGCAAAAATGAAAAAAGCACAGGTGCTACAGAAGCAGAGGAGAAAAAGAGTTGAAGAAAAGAGGTGAGATTTGTCTTATATTATCTTTTTTTTCTTTTGAGTTGGTTTTACTTGATATTTTATTAAATACAATTGTTTCTTTAGTACATTAAAAAAGTCTACTGATATTCTAATGTATTAGTGGCTACCGAACATTTTGATGGATTATCTACGGAAAAAAAGAGACTCGAAGAGACATACGAATTGATCTTAGCACAAAATATAATTTGAAGTGCTGCAAACAACATTCTGCAAATTTTTTAAAATGATTTACTCAAGGATTTTGACAAGAAAAGAGATACTGAAATGGTATTGGTACCATTGTACCATATAGATTTGCACAGCTAGTGAATTTGATGAAAAAAATAACGGATTATCATTCTGAGGATGCCATGAATGAATTCAAGCGAGATTGATGATGAACCTGGAGTTGCCTAGCATTTGATAAAGAGGAAGATGAATTTGGAAAATACGAAATTGAGCCCGAGAAGGAAGATGACGATGAAGGTGGTGTGGAAGCATTGATAACAGGTGTGTTAGGCTTTGGTCAAGTTGAGGATGATAAATATAGAGTTTATTCAGATGAAGAAAACGAAGGGTTCCGAACTTCTATTGGTCCAGATACTACTAAATCGAATGTCACTGGTATATAGGCTTTACAAAAATATCTCCGCATGATATTGATGCCTTCTGCGTCTAATATCTAATAACTATTCAGATCCAGCATCGCACAAGAAAAGACGACGAATATCATGCAAATACTTGAATCAGATAGAAATACTTGTGACTGCGAAAATAAATTAAGGAATCTTTTGATAATGACAGATTCGATCCGGTCAGTGTATTGACAAGAAATAGGGATGGTGTACAAAACTTACCAAAGCTGGAACAGTCAACGCTAAGCAACAATGTATTAAACGCAAAATTTGCGAGCAGGGATTAGAAGAATTCGTCGTGGTTAGAATGCCGCCCAGAAAGGTGTGGTTGAGGATGCAATGGAAATATATGATAAACCTGTGCCGGCGTATAGTCTAATTTCTGCTTTTGTCGAGACTATTTTACCTCCAGTAGCAACAGCAATGCCTAAAGCTGTAATTGATCCCGAATCGCTAATGTTTACACTAAGTGATATTTAATGTCTAACAAAAAGTGCAAGCCAACATTGGATTTTTTATTAGATGTTTCAATAATATAAACAAAATATTTAATGACAGAAAATTTTTTTAAATGTTTTAATTTCAAGAGTGAACGGAGCTTTGGGTTTCAAAGGCGATTCTACTAAAATCGAAATCACCTTCAGTACTCAAGTCATATGCTTATATACAGTAGTAACTCGTCAAGCAAAAGAGAGTCATAAATCCCTCATCCCCTAGTACCAGTATCAGCCTGTACTCTTCGATCACACTCAAAATCTCTTTCCTGTTTCAATGACAAACTTCCGCCACCTTGGCAAATCAACAATTATCTTCTGGAACCTTTTCAAGTCTGAGAGTATACAGTACCACGGTTGCTTTGAAGAATGCAGATTTGTCGAAGGCTTCATCATACGTCTTGGCAAAGATGCAAAAAGAAATCACAATTTATAAAGAACTCGCTGATATTTTATATCTCAAAGTTGATCTGTTGGATATTGTGGAGGTGTGAGCTTCGTTATCAACGTGATACTATGTTGAGTAAACGTAAATAACGAACTGGCAAGGGTCAAGGACTATTGGCGATTCACAAGCATATCTTGGTTTAACGATAACGGTGATGTGTAACTCATTGACTTCGAGATGGGATGCAAAAAAGAAGAGAAATCTTTTTATCTCGTTTATTAGATAAATATACTTAGCAGGAGTTTATCGCTTCGCAAATTTTATCGTGTATCCGTAATATATTATTAGTGAGCTTGCTTTTAATATAATAATTTCAGAAATTTTAACACAGAGACTCCGCATCTATCGCAAGTTCATTTGTTGCAGATGCAACGAAGGCACACGTGACTAATTTAATCTATTGGTTGCTATTGCCAAGTAAATTATATACTATATATATAATGTGTACGACATTACATAAAAAATTCAAGGGTGAGGCAGATTTCATCTTTGCATACTGTATTCCTTAAAAAGAACTTTACTTCAAAAACAAGAACCCGTAAAAAATGGCTGATTCTTTTTGAAAACGACAAAAATGTTATATCCGATTTTTTGATCCCTATTTTTTGAACAATATAAATTCTAGGAGTACAATAATAAAGTCAGAAAAATCACTGTCCGCCTTCAAAAAGAATTACCAAAATGGATAAAATTATTATCATGTTATATATTATATTTTTGCTAGTACTGTATTAAAACAATAAATAAACAATAATCTTTGTTAAAATATTTATACGTCTTTTTTAATACATGTTTCTGCTGCAGATTTACAAGATTTACAGTATGATCATCGATCATTAATTAACGAGTGAAATACGCATTTAAACATTGTTTCCACCTTTGTGTTAAAAAAGGGCCTTACTAAATTTATTGGTCGCATAAACATAACTAACAAAAAGATAATAAAGTTTACTACATAGACCTAAATGATCTGATTACGTAAAATGTTATTGAGCGAATACCGCCAAAAAAAAAAATTGAAATGGTTGGCACAGGCAGTACTTAAAATTCCCATCGTCGACCTGCGCCTTAGAGAGTAGTGCTGCACTTTGTTATCATCAATTTTCATTTTTTTTTTTTTTTTAAAAAAATAATAATATTTTAAACGCTCAACAAATAAATAATTGAAAATTTTTTTTAAAAAAAGGACTAGTAAATATGAATACATTATTATGCTTATACACAAAAGGTGAGATCAATGTAGTGGCGCTTCGCTGCCAGATTTTTCAGAAGCCTCGTCTCGGTGGATTGTTAATGATTCTAAGTCCATAGAATCGAAAGAGCTTTGTTGATATTGACCTATCTTTCTCATAGAATTGTCATTACCATCGTATGGAGTCGTTTGATTTATTCGAGATGACTCCACGAAGGTGTGAGTGGTTTGCACGATATTGATACCGTTGTTGCTCGTGCTAGTGTCCTCTTTCGAGGCTTTAAACATTTTCGGTAGTGTCAATCCGAATTCAGTTATCACAAATATCGTGAGAGCGCAACTAAACAATTCCATGTAAATAAAGGTTGGCCAATTTTTATAAACAAGTATGAGCAATCGATAAACGCTCATTGATATTAGGACAATCATATCCAAGGTGAATATATATGTTTGATAACGACGTTGCCTTATGCTATCAAGAGATTCTGATGAACGGACGGTATTAAGCGTCCTAAATAATTTGACGTAAAAAATGCCTTCGGAAATGATATAGTAAAAACGGAATGCAGGAGCCAAAGCATTTTGCATCGTTAAGATCACGGAAAATGACTCACATACGTCGACGTATCTTCCATTGCATCGAACGTTAACGTAGATACTGGCGATCCATATTACTAGTAATTCTATCGCACGAAATGCAATTAAGAGATAATGAATCCCAGGATAATTTCTATAAGGAGGAAATGCTGATCGACATCTTAGGAAGGCTAAGTAGAGAATGATGGGTTTCGAAATGAAATAAGAAAAATTGTTGAGAAAATTTGCCCAGTTGTCCAATTGATCGGTGCTTGATAGGAGCATTAGCAGTACGGCTATTTCATTTAAAAATTGTGCGCCATTCGTTACCGAAAACAAAAACATTCGTGAGCCGGCGGTTTGTAAGACATAGATTCGTAAGATGGAGTGAAAAGTAAGCGCGAAGCCTGCGCCCACCAACACGGACCCAACTACAGTCTCAATATTGCTAGCCATTGCAAAAGTGTTAATTATCTATTATGCTATATATGGAAATATGTTGTTAAATTTCACAGGATCTATCTCAAGTTCATAGTATTATATTAAAGGAATGATGATGAATGAATGAATGAATGAGATTGAATGAAATCCAAAAATTATGATCGTACGTTAAAAAAAATGTTCCCTTCAAGCAACGCCTAAATATCAAACTTATTGTTAAATTTTCGACCTTTTGTATTACTCCTGGTTGCAATGTTTATAACTGGTGAACCGATAGAATCTGTGTGAAGGACGTGTTCATTTATTCGGAAAATTTATGTTGTGTGTAGTATTCCCGAATAATTATGCATACTTCAATCTCACCACAATATGCATGCATGATCCAGTTGAGATTGAATTGTAGGTGAACCTACATAGGCAATTGTTTGTGATACCAAATTATAGTCTCATAATTGCAGAAGATGGTGTGCTTTAAATATTTACCATTGCAGACCACTCCAGGTAGAAGGTTTACTTACACGCAGAAACTGAGTTGGCAATTCCCATTAAATTTTATGCGTTTGCCTATGCACTCTTTAAAAGGGATTCTCCTTGATTCGCAACATTATGGGCTTACGGCCTGGTGTGTAATCAACAAATTGTGCGCAGATGGATATGATCAATACTGTATTATGGAAAAGACGAGTCGATCAGATCCGTCAAAGGAAAATCTGTTTGACAAGTTACTTAATGATATTTAATACTGTTGTCCTTTCTTTTGTTTGCTGCTGTATTCATTTTCGCTGTTATTTGCATAATGAGATGGTTTTCAAAAAAAAGAAAAGAAAGACCAATGAAATCCTTATAAAACTTTGATCTACTTGTTTGTGATGAGATTTATCATTAAATATCTTAATATTCGTAATCGTACGAAAGTTTACTGTATATACATGCTACTGTATACTGTATATAGTACAGTATGTCTCATAATTTTTTGTAAATTTTATTTATTAATTACTCGATAACCGCTGAACCAAATACAATAAACAA